TAGTTATTAGTACAGGGTTAAAACAGTAAAATGTGAGCTATTGTAAAAGGGTCATTTAAATGCGACATTTCGTTATGATTATGAAGTACAGTAATACCAGGGAGTTGTTATTTAGAAGGAGTCACAACACATTTATCTACTTATCTACAGCCAATGAGCGAAGCGCGGTGTACTGAATCTTCAAAGAGAACCGTGACTAACTGCCTGTCTTTTGTCAATAGGATAGTTGTTAAAATTTTGTCTTTGTAGAGAAAATAATTTCGTGACAAACGACCAGTAGAGCATGCGCAGAGTTTTTTTTATTCAATTTTCGCTGTTCAATAAATTTGCATCTCAAGAGAGTTTTACGAAGAATAATTTACAAAAAACCGCATAAAAATTCGCCTTTTCGTTAAAAGTTACGACTATTTGAAGTGGAACTATATGTGTTTGTTCGTACACCGTCATTTATAATTTTCATGGGTTTTTGATAAGTTTTAAAGCTTATATTTTATATTTTCCGCACGTATCTCCATTTTATAACTAGGACAAATAGTTTATGCAACTTGTTAACTATCATTTTCTTTATGTCTCATTTTCTTACAATTTCGCACAGAAACGTAATTTGAGTTCAAACTGAACATGTTTTCATAGCAGGGAAATGATATAGGGGCATATTTGTTGTATCGGTTTGACGCTAGCGTGTAGTTGATAACTAGTTGCCATGCTTTTTCGTCACGCACAAGCATAAGAAGGTTTACTGCGCATGCTCATATTAGGTAATTGAACCTCGTCATTATCTACCTCTCTGCTTTCTTATCTTGTCGGAAAAGTAGACTGATCAAAAGAGAGGATTTTGTTGTGACTCCTTCTAATAACAACTCCCTGGTAATACAGAAGTTTAAACACATACACAGGCCCGTATCCAAGGGGGGGGGGGGGGTCGTGGGTCAATGAGTCAAAGAACGAACTAAGACTTGTATACGTTGTATAACGTTTATTAACTGCAACATCAATTGTAACTAACAAAAACAACCCCTGAAACAACAGAGAAAATAAAATAAGTAAGGTACATCAAAGTTACCTCTTACAAGTCCAAAACAATATGTAGCGAGCGGTAAGACCTCAAAATTATTCAAGTCTACTTTACATAAGGTAAATTAACTGTTCAATTAAATCATATTCTCTTATTATAAATTGCAAATAATTACATGAAATCATCTATCAGTTCTCATATAACATACTCATATTCATTAAGAATGTTGCATCTCAACATTAACTCTCAAATAATTAGACACTGGCAACTCGAACCATGTCTCTCAATATTAAAGATTTACTAATTCTCAACCTCGAAATAATAATCATATAACAATCACAATACCTGCGATGCCCTCAATGGTATACACCAAAATCAACACTGTAATTATACAGCCAATCACTGTCGGGATCGCCGACACCAGGTGAATCTCCTATTAAAACAACACATCATAACTTCTAATGTGATGTCACATATTCATATTTTAACATATTAGAAAACATATAAATCATAACACAATATTAGCATAATCCAGCAACCAACTTGTTACTCTTAACAAAAAAAATGACTAACTCTCATAATCAATACCTTACTAGTTCCATAATAATCATTACATTAACACATCATACAGTATATTGAATAATACAAACTTCAGTCAGAAGCAGATACTTAAATATCACAACTATTATGAAATACGCATAAAATTTGTGAGTTTTATGCGTATTTCACAACTATTATGAAATACGCATAAAACTCACAAATTAAACGATCAAATAACAAAATTAACTATTTATATAATAACAATAATCAATAAAACGATCACACTATCATCAGAATCATCGTAATAGTATACATCGTACGACGGCCCGATAATTACATGGGCGCCGCCATCTTGGATTAATGTTTATATAGAGCGCCCTCTCCAGCACGAGAGTTCGTGACAACTAATATTAAAACGTCAGTTGAGCATGTGGAAAAGCTTATCTACAGCTTAATCCGGAACCAAGCGCAAGGCTGACAATAAACAATCGTTAGCGTAGGTTATCATATTACAAGCCCACACTACAAATTCGTTCTACCGCAGACATTATTATAGAACATTATAACAACAATTATCAGTGGAGCAAGTTGACATTTTACTAAGCATTCATGGTAAATCATCGTTAACTATTTGCCTAAATCAGTGCATAATCTTTAACATGCAAACTAATCTGTACAACTTGGCCTATGCAGTACTGTATAGAACATCGATGTTAATATCGGGCTAGCATCAAATATATCGTTAAATTACACTAATATAATGAATAATTACACTTTGATATAACTTAGTATATCTGTACTATAATATTATACAAATTATAGTGATTACTACATATCAGTCAACTGCAGACAACAGTTACTCTCCAGAAGTAACCAGAATCAATCAGTGTCTCTACACATACGTCTTGCCTCATGCAAAACGGAGCCGCAACTGCCTTTTGTTCGGAAGTCGCGCGTTAAGCCACAGAACAGAGACGCTCTACGAAAAATCACTGCGCTAATAAACAGCACTCAGAGAATAATCAAGCGTGTGCTTATGTAAAAAAAGTAGTTCTAATTAAATAAACAACAATAAAATTCGGTTCCCGACACTAATTATAACCAAAAAAAATGTGACCTTGTTCCCAGAATCATTATAAAATGAATCACATAACAGTACAGTATTAAGACTGTATGAATGTACAAATGAGTTACAATAAGAATACTAGAGCGCTGACTCCACACGCGCAATCTTTTGTACTGCCAGCAACATAACACAACAAACATACGTACGTTATATATGCACATTATCGTCTAGGTGTATCTTCCCCTAACTACCAGCCGGTATGTCAGTGTATAGCAATGAAGTCAAAATGCTAGAATGACACCCCGGTTTAGACAAGTATAATCGTTCCTAGCGCTCTCAGAAATACCCTGAGACGAGTATACTCGACGCTGGAGCGCACACGTGTTAAAAAATGGTTACGAATTTATACAGTAGTATTTTTCATTTGGAAAACAATTTGCTTATTTCTCCATGTCCTCCACTGGTAATTTTTTGATAGGCCCTATCGCTGTGTTCACGGTCATATAGAGATTAACATGATAAAATGCCTTCAAATTAGTCTACTAGGACGTAAGAAAGCAAATTTTTTCGGGGCCTTCAGACCCTGGACCCCGACCGGGGTCCCTGGGCGGCCCCCTGGCCCCCAGCCTGGTTGCTCGCTGCACTCGCAAAACGCACCCCCCATTCAAAAAGCTGGATACGGGCCTGCATACAGCTGTTTAGAAAACAATATTTGAGAAACCATCATTAAAAACTTTTGTTTTAACATTGAAAATGTTGACAATAACAGCAAAGCATGATACTGTATATGTAAAGATTAGTTTATTGTATTAAAATAGATTTTTAAAATGTTGACATTCCAGCATGTTTTGGCTATTACAGTATCTCTGAAGCAGGATTTGCGATGAGTGACTGGTTTTGCTTGTCTTACCACATTTGTGCAGGCAATTTGCAAACTGTTCAGGGCTACTAAGGCATCATGCACATTTTAGTAGATTGCACTTTTTTTTAAATACTATTTTACTATTTATTCATCTGTTAATAAATGGGTAGCTGTGTGTCGGCTTATCATCTCAAAGTAGAATCATTGAGGTCAAATTAAAAATATGTGTGTTGTGGAAAGAGACAGGGATCCAGGGGTAGGGAGGCATTTATAGTGACACATTTTAATTGATTTGCATTTTTGATACTGTTTTAATATTTACTCTACAGTTAGGCCATGTAAAAAAAAAAAACAAGTTGTTGATTGTCCTTTAAAAAAGAAAAAAAATAATGTCTGAAAGCAGGTGGTTTTTTTTCTGTAATAAAACCACCCCCTTGATGCATGCCAAGTCTTCAAATACCAATGGAGAGCAAGGCCTCATTTAACAGATTTTCCAGTGCAGTGTTTTATCCTGTCTTACGACGCATCATAATCATCTGCCACTGTTTTAAAAGTGAAGTTTCAAATAAAGATTATTAATTATTATTATTATCAGTGGAATTTATACACTATCCCCTACACTAATGAGAGACAATACAGTAATTACACAAAAGAACAAAAAAGAAAACATCCTATCTGAAGTTTGATTATGGGTTGAAAGATGATATTTTCCTGTCGGAAAATCAGTTGGTACATCACGTCACAAAACAAAGGGCAGGATAATTATAATTAGGCATTTAAACTTATTTGATATTTTGATTAAGAATTTTAGTGGATAGTGGTACAAATTTATTTTGATATCTATTTGTTAGGTTGGATTTTTGGCCAAAAAAAATAAAGATAGGTAGGGTGCTTTCTTTACAATCATATTTTTATTTCCTATTCCAAAATTGATTGGCAATACCAGGTGAACCTATGTTTTGGATTGTGTTTCATGCATGTTTAACACAAAGCGTTAGAGACTAGGAATTTGGATTATTTGTCACCTTGAATGAACCTTACAATGCGGACATATGTATTTTTCTTATTTTTGTCCATAATAACAAAATCAAATAACACAATAAACTGATTTCAAATTAAACAACTTTTATTTTTATGTACAGTACGTAAATGTTAAAATATAGTTTAATGATACTCTTTGAGAAAACCAATGTAACTGCCATGATTAGACAGACCCGCCATTAAGAATCAGTAAAAAAAAAAAAGAAAATACAAAAATGACATTCAGCATAGATATACCTGCTGGGAGTCTGTTGTCCAATGATGTTGTTTGTGAATGTATGTGGCTTAAGCTTTGAATGGTTTGAATTACATTAACGCAAACCTTGACTTTCTCACTGCCACATATTTCATTCCCACTATTTCATCTTTTTCAATTGGTAGCTGAGGACAAGCTACCATATCCAGTGAAGGCCATTGTTTTATCATTCACAAAATTTGAACTGGGTGGTTACAGCCATTGAGCTGGAATATACTTCTTCCAACACCCCCTGTGCACTTTTACTAGGTTTAAGATATGATCACATCTAGTATACCCGTAGGCTTGCCTTAGTTCAGTTTACTAGTATTAGATACTGGTTAATTCTCACAATTGTTTTAAAATCTATACAAACACATGCTTTTGATACAGAAAGGTGATACCAAAGTCCAGAATCAGAAGATGAAAACAGGCAATCATACAGCTTGTAATGCACGATTGTTATACTTTACAGCATCTCAGTAATCAATACGTCAGCCATACTGTGCACACACATAAAGAGGCACTGATAAACAACCATGGAGCCTCAGCCTGAGGGGTGAGTATTGTACTGTACCATTGAACAATTCGGATAGAACAAAATATCTTTCAAAATGATTCTAGTTTAATGGATTGGCATGTTATTTTACGATCATTTCATCTGGATCAATATGGTAGGATTTCTTTTTATGATTATCCAAAAACAAAGATGTTTTTGACTTGCAACATAGATAAAAAATAAGCATAAAGTTTGGTTTTAGTACTAATGTACTTTATTATATCAATATTTTATTTTCATAAGAAAGTATAATACATACTCCAAGTATTGAAATACATGCCATCGTGTTGGGATTCAATATTTCGACATTAATTATGTCATCATCAGGAATGATGATGACATAATGTTGAAATATTGAATCCCAACACGATGGCGTGTATTTCAATACTTGGAGTATGTATTATACTTTCTTATCTGAGATTAATCAGTGGACCTTTCGGTTTTATTTTCATGTTAATGAAAACTGTTTTAATTAAAATATTAAAACTGTTTTTATTAATATATTTTTGTAAATTTTGTTAACAATGACGAAAGTGATCGGGCCATGTCCAGGATTGCAATTTTAAGGAAGTACAGTCTCGATTTTCTTAAGAATATGGACCTTTTCTGATTTGGGGGATGAGTCCACACCCATCACACCCTCTGGATACGGGCCAGGTGATGATGTTGAATATTAAAATTCATCATTCACGGTTGATGAAAGTAATCTGTATTAAATATCATGTCAAAGGAAAATATAATGTATGATTCAGTTTCAAACTTTGCTTGTGCATTATTTCACAGAAATGTGTTATTTGAGGCTATTAGACACCGTGACTGGCAAGAAGTAAGACGTGTCTGTGAAGAACATCCCAACCTTATTAACACTTATGACACCAGGATATGGGTGTGTATTCAGCTGATTATATACAATTATGGGTGTGATTTATTGATGAATTATCATTTTATTGGTTCTTCACTTCAGGCCTAAAGTTACTGTAGTCCCAAACATTGCCTTAAGGCCTGTCTAGACTCTAAAATTTTATTTCACAAAAATATGTGACATGCCCAAATATGGTGATGATGACATCACATTGTGACCATATTTGGGCACATGATGACTATATTTGGGCATACAACAGTTTTTTGTCGAAGAAAATTTGATAGTGTGGACAGAGCTTTAGTTTTAGTAATTATTAGCTGTGTGAGGCTTGTGTAGGCCACGGCTTGTGTAATATCCTCAGCTAGGAGGATTCAGTGCTTATGATGTCCATCTGTGCAACTGTTCTTTGTACAGTGATTTCAATGTTTGCACTGACAAATTTACATTCTTTCTCCACCCTACCCAGTTCCCTTCCAATATGTTCTTTATCCTCACAACTGATTCCCAGCCAACCCAATTTTTTTTGCTAAAATGGAAAAGACAATTGCCAAAAAAGCGCCGTAACAAATCTTGGCTCGTCATTGCCAAGATATTGTGGCCAATACAAATCAGTGCAGTGAATATAATGAACAAGAGTTAACAACACAACCACATCAATTTCACAACAAAGGTACAATTCTCTTACAATTCTGCTGCAGTAAACTATGTTTTTTTTTTCCCATTACTACGGTAGAACAAGATTTTTTTTACTAACATTGTACTTCTATGGTGAATCATGATTGACCACAAAACCATAGCAAACATTGTGTGTGTGGGGAAGGGCATTAAAGTGTTAGTTGGCATTGCCAGCATTTATTTTTTTAATTACTGTACTTGCGTTTTCTGATCCCCTGGTGTAAGCTGATCCCCTCAACCCTAATTTACACTGTATTAGGAACGTTTTTATGTGTGTCTTGCACTATACAGATTGCTTACAATTTTGTAAACAATGAGTCCACCTACCAATGATTTTAATGTTTGATGAAGGTATGTTGTTATTTTGTACATTTGTATGTTTGTTTTATAGTATGGAACACCATTATTACATGCTATGATACACCAACAAACTGCACCAGAAGACTTGATGCTACTGATGGTTGAAAAAGCTACAGTAGGGAATATAGAATATGAAAACCTGGTAAATGAAATTCAATAGCATTGTATGTTATTCAAAAAACAAAACATGTATATATATTATATACCGGTAATAAACTAATTCACTCAGTAAATTACAGTCAATTATTTCATTCTGGACTAGCGGTGAGATTTTTTATTGTTTTATTTAAAACTGAGTAGCCAGCCTATGATCATCATTTCAAAATATAATATATAAATAAGATTTTTTTTTTAATGTGAGAGATAATGATGTTTATAGATTAATTTATACTATTTACTGGTTATATTGTTGACAAAAAAATGTTATACTGTATCACAATTAGTCTTGCTTGAAAATATAAATTGAAATTGTGTCTTAGAAGAAGTGAAGCTTTTTTTTTAATTATTATGTTGTATGTATGGTTTTACTTGAAAATCATCATTAAAAAACATTGAAATACTGTATGTAATCTTTATTGTATAAAATTATTAAATATAAGCAGCTAATGGCATGACATGTTATTGTGGTTAGTTATGTGTATTGTTGGTATGTTTGTAATCCTTTACCTTATTTTATGTTTGTCTTTTAGTTGGGTGAAACTATTATCAGTTTTTTGGCAAAGCATATGTATACATCAGCATTGAGATGTGCATTGGAAAAGTCTGCAAGCAAAATAAACACAGGAGACAATCTTGCAATATTCTTGGACGGTAAATAAAGTTAATATCATCAAATTCAATCACAAACCTGAGTGAGCTACTGGTTGTAGCTACTGGTGTGTCTACAAAGAATTTTCTTTGGCAACTCCATGTCAGACTTTTTCATTTTGAACTATTCCATTCCTCAGGGTTGAATTTTGGGACCTCAGTAGTTTTTGTTAAATTTTAACCTTTCTTATCATATTTATGCTGATGATAGACAGATCTATATTTCTTTTAATCTGGCTGTAGAATTTGATGTGAAGATTGAATCTCTCAGAAATTGTATTTCTGAGTTGAAAACTTGGATGTCCGAAAACTTCTAAAAGTAAATAAGCACAAGACAGAATTCATCGTCTTGTTTCCCTTAACAAAGGAAAATATACCAAGACCTCCACATCAACATTGGGCAATTGTCAGATCGATCAAGTACCTCATGTATAGAATTTGGGTATTACGCTTGATTTTTCAATGACTTTGAGTTAGCACATTCCCAAAATCACCAGCTCCTCAACATATCACTTGTGCAATATACATGCATTTGTTACCTCACATCTTGACTTTGAAATTCTCTTGTTTTTTTTGTTT